TAGGTGCTACCATTGGCTCACAGCCCTTACCCCAACAGTCTGTTACGGTTTATTCGGGGGGAGGGGAGTAAGGAGATCAGAAACTTGTTTTAAAGGAAGTGTGATTTTACAATGAACATCATCGCCACCATCGTCTCCATCACCACCACCATCAGCTAAGCTAGCCGATGAGCGGAGAGTGGTAACGATTCGATTTAAACGTCGCCATTCTCATCAAAAGACCGAATTCTTCACCGGCACAGTCAATGTAGCGGCCCCGAGTGTCTGCGAGCAGTGACCCGTGGCGAAAGGTAGATCGCTATTCGCCGGATTCTCCCGATTATAAGACGCCTCGGAAAGTAAGATGCACACCTTACCCCCCCCCTTACCCCCCCCCCCTTAACCCCCCCTTGCCACCCCCTTGCCACCCCCTTCCTTTACCCCCCCCCCCGTCTCCAAGTGTCAATAAACTCACAAAGACAAAGTTCCCCGCCTGCCTCAGGTAGCCTTTCACAGACTGTTAGGGCAAGTGCCAGAAGCGAGCACCCATTAAGGCCGGCACGGCAACCAACACCTGTGACGGGAGGGGGGAGTGGTGGGATGTGCCAGCACCACTCACAGCCGTCTTTGTCTCCCCAGTGACGATGTTCGCACGTGAGCACCCGTACTCATTTGAGGCCGAGTCGACCTCCTTCGGGGAGTCAAAATGTAACAAGCGCCGTGGTGACGTCACCACGGCGCTTGTGCCAGGCTAGGCGCACGTGTCACGCGGCATCTGGTCTCACACGCACACTCATCCGTACCGGATTATAAGACGCACCGCCCTCTGCTTCAGTCTAAAAGGAAGGGGGGGGGGGCAGCGTGCGTCTTATAATCGGGATAAGACGTCGACTTTTATTTATTCGATGCAATCGTTAGAACCCCTCCAAAAATGTACCGCATCCCATCGACTCCCCCATAGACCCCCTACCCGAGACACGGGGGGGAGGTCTAAAGACCCCCGTGACGAGTCCCCGTGAGACGCGACTCGCCGCTGAGACCCCGCTGAATACTCCAGACCCGGCCAGTCTTTGAGACCCCCTCCCCCCCCGCAGGCTTGAGACCCCTGCAATCCTCGTGCGCGGCCCGGCGACCCCTTGATTCGGGGATCCTGGAACTTTGGGAACTCGGCGAGTCCAAGGGCAACCAGGACCCCCCATTGTGATCCCCGCGATACGGAATCCGGGGGGTCCCCCCCCCCTCCCTGTACCATCCCCCCATCACCGCTTACCGCGCTCCCGAGGTTGGAGTGGCTGGCGCTGGCAGTGGGAGCCGAGCAGGAACGCGAGGAGCAGTGAGGGGATCAGCGGGAGCGAGGGGGTTCTCATCGCCAGGGTTCTTCAGGAATCTTCCAGGGGGGGGGGGGGGGCGGCTTGGATGTTAATGTTATGGGGGATGTGGATCCGCTCTCCCCTCCCCGTTTCCGCTCGCTCTTGCAAGACCGCCGGGAGGGAAGAGAAAGAGCCGGGCGGGATCTTGGATCGGGGATCCGGTAGAGAGAGAGAGAGAGAAAAAAGAAAAAGGGACCCGGAGAATGGGGACCCCCCTCGAGACAGGGACCCAGGATCAGAGAGACCGACAGAGAGAGACTTGGAGACCCGCGACCTTACGCGCGTCTCAAGACGCAGGAGCCGTTGATCGGCTTAATGGGTTCTTATCCCCCCACTAATCCTTGGCGCGCAGGGATAACCAAGGGACAGGGGCGAGGGGAACATGCGCCCCCTCCCAGCTGAGCCTGCCACAACCCCTGCAGCACAGGGATCCAGAGGGACTCCACAACGAGGGGGTTCTCCCACAGAGATCCCCTCCCCTCCCCCCCCCCCCCAAGAGGGTCCCGTGCTTCCCACGCAATTGGGGTTGACGGACCCGGAGAGGATGGGGGTGGGAGGAGTTCCACAGAGGAGACGACACGGACACTGCGAGCTCTTGGCAACTTTTAATCAACAACTGTCATCAGCCGGATCATCAACATCACAATCTTTGCCGTGGAGCGGTGGCGCAGTGGTTAGCACGCACTTTGCGCTATTCATTACCCGGCCACGGCTGACATAGGTGACCTCAGCACCGGACCTAGGGCTCCCTCGTTCGCAGCTTCACCAACCCACACCCGACAACGGCGTGTGGGAGGCCTTCATCCAGCAGTAGACTGACCAAGGGCGCTGTGAACTAAACATTCAACTTAATCCAAAATACCTGGTGCTTCAAAAAAATGTTAACACTTGCGTAGCAGAGTTGGCGACGACTCTCAAAGGTAAAGTTAAGGGCTTCACAAATACACTGGGGTGAACAACTCCCCAGGGGTGAGGGGTCCCGGGCTAGGTCCCACGATTGGTTGAGGATGTCGGGGAGGGTGGGGGGAAGGTAAACACACCCAATCATCCAACTTCCCCCCCCCCCCCAAACGCCGAGCGGGGCTGCCACTGGTAGAGGTGGGGTGTAAACACGCTCACCCATGCAATCTCCTCCCCACCGAACACCGAGCGACGCCGCGATTGGTTGACGATGTCGGGGAGGGTGGGGGGGAAGGGTAAACATGCCCACTCATCCAACTGCCCCCCCCCCTAAACGCAGCGCTGAGTGTGTTTGAGTCTGAGATTGTCAGAGTGTTTGAGTCTGAGAGTGTGTGTGTGTGAGTCTGAGAGTGTGAGAGTATGTGTGTGTGAGTCTGAGAGTGTGTGTGTGAGTCTGAAAGTGTGAGTGTGTGAGTCTGAGAGTGTGAGAGAGAGTGTGTGTGTGTGAGTCTGAGAATGTGCGAGTGAGTGTGTGTGTGAGAGAGTGAGTGTGTGTGTGTGAGAGTGAGTGTATCTGTGTGTGAGTCTGAAAGTGTGAGTGTGTGTGAGTCTGAGAGTGTGAGAGTGAGTGTATGTGGGTGTGATAGTGAGTGTATGTGTGTGTGAGTCTGAGAGTGAGTGTGTGTGAGTCTGAGAGTGTGTGTGTGAGTCTGAAAGTGTGAGTGTGTGTGAGTCTGAGAGTGTGAGAGTGGGTGTGTGTGTGTGTGTGAGTCTGAGAGTGTGAGAGTGAGTGTGTGTGTGAGTCTGAGAGTGTGAGGGTGAGTGGGTGTGAGTCTGAGAGTGTGAGGGTGAGTGTGTGTGAGTCTGAGAGTGTGAGAGTAAGTGTGTGTGTGTGCGAGTCTGAGAGTGTGAGAGTGAGTGTGTGTGTGTGAGTCTGAGAGTGTGAGAGTGATTGTGTGTGTGAGTCTGAGAGTGAGTGAGAGAGTCAGTGTGAGTCTGAGAGTGTGAGGGTGAGTGTGCGTGTGAGTCTGAGAGTGTGAGAGTGTGTGTGTGAGTCTGAGAGTGTGAGATGTGAGTATGTGTGTGAGTCTGAGAGTGAGTGTATGTGTGTGTGTGAGAGTGTGTGTGTGTGTGTCTGTGAGTGTGGGAGAGTGTTGTACAGGTAGGAATTACAGGTTCCACACTGCCGACCAGGGATTATTTGTCTGTCGTGCATATCCGGAATTCTGCCCACCCATGCACCTCCCCACCGAACACCGAGCTACGCCGCGATTGGTTGACGATGTCGGGGAGGGTGGGGGGGGGAAGGCTAAACATGCCCGCTCATCCAACTGCCCCCCCCCCCCCCCGAACGCCGCGCGTGTCAAACAAAGTTCCTACCTGCCATACTCTGAAGAAACGTGTTAAGGGCACCACGGAGAGAGCAGCCCCTCCCCACTCAGCCCCACCTCTCCCACCACCCACC